CGAGGAGAGATCTGGCCATCAGATGCCACGTGGGAATTCAGTGAGTTCCACATATGCCCCTCATGCCGGAGCAAAGAGAAGGGGGCGCGGGTGGCCCAGGGCCGCGGGTGGCCCAGGGCCGCGAAAAACAAGAAAACAACAACGTATTGAGTTAATGGATCCCCTGGCCCCCGCGTCTACGCGGGGAATCCGAAGGCACCTGAGCTCCTCCAGGACCCCCCATGCAAGGGGGAACGTCGCGGCCAGAACCTTTAGCCTCCCCCCTCCTCTCGCGAGTAGGCGCTTGAGCCCCCTTTCCACTCATCCCTCGGGATTTTAGCGTCAGCCGGTACACTGGTGTCTTTGGCAAGCCCCTCTAGATGCTGCGCCCTGTCTTGCACACAGATCATTCCTAGCAGCGGTTGCGATCGCGAGAGAAAACATACGATGGGAAATGGTGAACGCGCATGGCTGGAATTGGGCCTGCCCCCGCATTGCAACATACGCCTGGCCTGCTACCGCGAAGAATAGCCCCAGAGCCTTCTCCCCCTCATGGAATCAGCCCCAATTAGCTGCGCGCGGGTCTCCCGCAAGGATTCCGCCGCAGCTATGCACCATGGCAGAGGGGAGTGGGTCCTTGCACTTCAGACCCTTCCTGAAATCGCGTTGGGCCCCCGTTCTAGAAACCTAACTCTGCCGCGGCAGCCTCACCCACCTGGGCAGCGAGAGCCCCGACACGTTACTTTATGTCGGCGCCCCAGGGAAACTGGGGGAAAGAACCCAAACGTTCCTTAAAGGCAGCAGCGTGCGCAGGGTCTCTGAGTTTAGAGGAGTCGAGCGGCGGAATGAGCGATCGCAGCCTGGGAATGGCGCCGCAGGTCCGTTGAACTGCGTAACGCCATTAGGAATGGTCCTTGGCGGCCAAGTGATTACCAAATACATGCTACACTTCCATCCCAGTGGCACGCGCCATCCACCCCGATCAAATTAGCATATAATCGGCCATGTGATTGGACCCTTGTGGGCATTGATAATGATATCCAGGTCTGCTCGACGGTATTGATGCATTGGCAGCAGTCAACCCGTGAGCAAGCAAACACAAGTGTAGTTCGCGCCACGTCCGTCCTGCGACTGAAAGATTCGCTGGTCCCCCACCAGGCTGCTTGTAACAAGGCCCAGTCGTGCGTTAGCATCGACGATGACGAGCTGAGGTCCCAAACGGTCCACAATCTGATCTAGAGACCCCACAATGTGGCGCCCTCTGGGTAAATCCCTACGGCGTGCGGCGCGAACTGAGACCAATGTGAGATCCAGCCCTTTGGCAGCTACGCGCAAAACTATGATCCCTGACGTCACGATTGAGAAAACAAGGCTGTTTGGTGCCCCTGGGCCCAAATTTGAGGCCACGGTTGACCTCGACTTCAATACGTAGTCCATCATCTCCGCTGCCTGAGGAAGTGATATAGAATCATCTGCCACCCCGGATGTTTGGCATGAATGGATTGCAGAACTGTGGATTTGTTCCTTTTGTAATTGTACACGTATGGCCTTGTCACGAGCTCTCCTGCCCGTCACCCTCTTTCCCAATGCAAGGCGGACCGACGCAGATCTGACATTGTACTCGGCAACTCTTAATTGCATACTATGTTGGTTGGTGGCTGCTTCAGTTTGCCCTGGATTAGTTTCTCGCAAGCCCGGAGAACAACTTAGCTGACAGTCTGGCACTTAGGAAATCAAGGGAAGGAGCCTGCGTGCTGGCGCTAGCTGCGCGCAACCACTTCCATTGTGTGGCCATCAAGAACCTGGGTGCTGCAATCAGCTCTTCAGATAAATCGGTGTGCGCTACGTTCCCACGGTGATGGACTCTCTAGCTAGAGAATGCCACGGGTGTCCAGCGTGGCCTCTTTTTTTGTCGAATGGACCACCCTAACAGTCGAGCGCATACAGACAACCAAGCCGACAGAGCAAGCCGTCCTGGCCGGCGAATCCGACCGTGGTGGCGTGGTGGCCCCGTTTAGACGGCTGGCGGCAATGAGAGAACCGTTGCCACTAGACATCTCCAACTGTGGGATGAGGGAGCACAGCAGAACAAAAGTCCACAATATAACAATGCATTATGTACCTGTGCAGATGAGGTCGGTAGGTCGTGATGGCGTCAGGAATATGCAAAGAAACATGTCGCTCCGCCGTCCTGCATGTGAGAGCCTTTGCTCGTCTTCTCGTACCAGGATCAGCGCCCAGCAGGCGGTCTCATTCACCCCGTGCTTGAGTGCGCCATCGGAAACATGCTGACATGAGTCGAACATCCCTCTTCAACAGGGCACAATTCTATGGCAAGTTGGGCTTCAGAGGGCAAGCCACTGGGGCCTCCTATGAAACTGTCTAATTCGGGCACTCCTTCCTCCGTGATGACCTGGTAAACGGACTTGGACCACAAGAAAAGGGCATTTCACCTTGTTGGCCTCAGGGGTGTTGTCGAGATGGGTCGCCTTGGAAGCTCCATGGGGCTCCGTGCTGTGCCCTTGGGCTTGTTCCAGGGAGCATCATGCGGCGGCATCGGCAGAGAGATATGGCGAGAGGGGGAGGGAGGCCCTCTGACTGACCTTCTGCGATATCTGAGTAAAGGGAAACGTGGCTGAGCTACGCAGTGAATGCCCAAGCGAAAAATGGTTTGGCTGAGCAAAAAATGCCATGCTGGGAAATAATGGCAGGCAGACCTTGAACCGGGCCGGCGCCCAATGGGCTGGCTGGAAAACCTATGCATACAGCAACTGCTGCGTCTTTTCCCTCCGCCCTCCCTTCGTGACTACCTAAACCCATCCCGATCAATCTCGCACGGGCGGTTGGACACTCGAGGCAGCCAGCCATGAAGAAGCCACACAGAAAGCAATCAAGACCGCTGCTAGCGACTGGCTGGGAAACGAAGTCAGCCTCCCGTTGGCTTCCTGCACGTGTTTCTCAAGGCGCATGCGCTCCTCCTCCTCCTCCTCCTCCTCCTCCTCCTCCTCCTCCTCCTCCTCCCTCTCCTCCTCCTCCTCCTTCTCCTCCCCCTCATTGCCACCACCACCGTCGTCGTCGTCGTCGACGTCGTCATCGTCGTTGCCATTGTCATCATCATCATCATCATCATCATCATCATCATCATCATCATCATCAGCAGCAGCAGCAGCAGCAGCATCCTCATCATCATCATCAGCAGCATCAGCATCACCATCATCACCCTTATCTTCAACATCATCACCAATATCATCGTTTTCATCATCATCATCAGCATCATCATCATCCTCATCATCATCACCATCATCATCATACTCGTCATCATCATCATCGTCATCGTCATCATCATCATCAGCATCGTCATCATCATCGTCCCCTATCAGCATCATCATCATCATCGGCATCATCATCTTAACCATCATCATTACCACCATCCTCCTCACCATCAACATGAACATTATCAACAACATAACCATCAACATCATCAGCAGCATCAGTATCAGCAACATCACCGGCATCAGCATAGTCACCTCCATCATCATTATCCTGATAATCATCCGTAGCACCGTCCTCATCATATCGTCATCGGTACCATCATCACCAACTGCAACAACATCGTAGCACCATCAGCATCCTCATAAGCATCGCCAGCATCAGCATCATCGTCAACATCATCATCATCATCATCATCATCATCATCATCATCATCATCGTCATTATCAGCATCATCAGCTACATCAGTGGCATCATCATAATCACCTACATTATTCCCCCGATCATCATCAGAAGCACCGTCGTCATCGTCATCACCATCAGCATCATCATAACCATCATCAGCATCGTCAACATGTGCGTGTTCATCGCCATCGTCATCCCCATCATCCCCCTCATCATCATCCTCATCATCAGCAGCAGCAGCGTCCCCATCATATCACCATCAAAATTATCAAAATCGGCATTACCACCGCCACCATCATCATCATCATTGTCCCCAGTATCACCATCATCCGCGTCCGCCTGTCCGCCGTCAACAGCACCACTACCGCCATCATCGGCATCATCAGCAGTAGCATCATCAGTAGCATCAGCAGTGGCATCATTCTCGTCGTCACTGACACAATGATCAGCAGCAGCAGCATCCCCATCAGCATCATCAGCAGAAACAGCATCGTCAATGTCATCGTCGTCATCAGCAGCATCATCAACATCGCCATCATCATGATCCTCATTATCAGCATCAGCATCAGCATCAACATCATCACCATCATCACCAGCATTAACGCAACCATTAACAACGCCAGCAACATCGTCACCAATACATTCACGGCCATGTCGTCGCCACCCGCATAATCACCACCAACATCACCTATCTTCCCGTCATCAACATCATTGGTTGTGCCATCATGCGTATACCCCTCCTCCTCACAGACTTGAATCCAATCATCCCACTCCTCCCCATCATCCTAATCATCCTCCTCCGCGAATTCCCAGGCCAGCGTCCTATCTCTTCCTGAAGGTGTTCCTCCACCTCGCCTTCCTCCGCCCCGTATTCATCCCTTTCCTCCTCATGGCCATGTCCTCCCCACACACGTCCTTCCCTCAGTTCCCGTGTCAGTACAGTGGCGCGCGATGTTTCGGCGGGCCTCCATGGCAACGGGGCAGAAACATCAAGTTCGAGCTGGCCTCGTCGCCACGAGCTCTTTCCTGGATGCTGCGCCTGTTGCTGCGAATCGTATATATCATTGCGTACGTGGCTGCGCCGCCCTGCAACCCCCCCTCCCTCCCCCTCCCACCCCCGTCCCCAACCCAGTATCACCCACCACCGCCCCGCCACCGCCACCGACGCAATTCCCCCTGAGCCTCGAACCCACCCAGCAATTTCGAGCCTGCTCCGCCAAGGCAAGCGATTGGAGCTAGATCGAAGTATGGCGACGAGACGGCATACCACGGGCTGGCAAAGCAACCCTCCGTTCCCCTCGCCTGATGGAATTCACCACACGCCCTGACTCCAGAGCGCGGCCCACCCGTGGAACTGCACGTTCACTGAGCAAGGGTGTCCCCGCAGCGCCCTCAGTAGCGAGGCCCGGGGGGGGGGAGGAAGAGACGGATAAGGAGACAGAGAGAGAGAGAAGCACAGAGAATGAGAGAGAGAGAATGACAGAGACAAAGACAGAGAGCGAAAGAGAGAGAACATATATGTTTATATATACATATGAAAATAGACAAACAAGCAGACAGAGACTCGGTATTTGAAGAGGGTCTGGCGCAGATGCAGTGTCAGATAAACCAAAGGACAACTACGAGGAGAAAGAGAGAAAGGGATAGAGGGAGCCGAGACATAGAGATCGAGGGGCACATGCGAAAAAAAAACAAATTGATAATGAAACTGAAACAGAACAGAAGCCGAGAACACCACATGATATGTATATGTATGTATAAATGTGTGTGAATCGTCTGTAATTATGGATAAGTATACATATATATATATATACGAGGGAGATAAAAAGAGAGAGAGAGAGAGAGCGGGAAAGAGAGGGAGAGAGAGAGAGAGAGAGAGAGCGAGAGGGAACGAGCACGCGAGATAGAGGGTAGACAGACATATACGTGAGGGATAGAATGCGGAACGGACACAGAGAGGGAGAACAACACGAACATATAAACTAACATATGAACTATCCATTTTACCGGTGTATATATATACACTAGAATCACACGCGCGCGCTTCGCGCGCGCTTCGGTTCTAGAATGCTCAAGTCCTTTGGCCTTGTCGGGCCGCTCTTGTCGCTCATGTGTGACCCCCGAGCTGTTTGGAGCGGCCAGGGGGAGGCCCGGGAGGCCCTGGAGGGAGGGCCAAAGGAGGGGAGGGGGGGGGGGGAAGGGAGCGGCGTTTGCACGCAGTGCGGTTCTGAACTTGAGCCGTCGCCTGCCGCCCTGCATCCAGAGAAAGGGATGCAATGGTTGCACCCTCCTCCTCTTCATCCTCCTCCGCCTAATCCCGTCCTTCTCCTTCTCCTGCTCTCCTTCTCCTCCTCGTCCTCGTCATCGTTCCTCTGACTCGTCGCCCTCCTCCGTCTCATCAGTATGCTCCTCCTTCTCCTCCTCCTCCTCTGTGCTGATCCTTCTCCTGCTGATCCCTTTGGTCTGGTCTGTTCCCTCTCCTTCTGGTCTCCCTATCTGATATGATCATTATCCTTCTCGTGCTGATCCGTTTCCCCTGGCTCTTCCACCTGCTGCAGCTCCTCCTCCTCCTCCTGCTCCTCCTCCTCCTCTATCCCCTACTCCTCATCCTCAATACCGTCCTAATCAGATCTACCACCACCACCACCATCACCACCGTCACCATCACCATCACCATCACCATCACCATCATCATCATCATCACCACCATCATCATCACAACCACCATCGTCATCATCATCATCATCATCATCATCATCATCATCATCATCATCATCACCATCATCATCATCATCATCAGAATCAGCATCATCATCACCATGATCACCGTCATCATCATCACCATCACCGTCAGCATCATCATAATCATACTCAGAATCGTCCTCATCATCACCATCATCATCGTCAACATCATCTCCTGCGTATCATCATCAAAACAATCATTTTCAAAACCACCACCACCACCATCACCATCCTCATAATCACCATCATCATCATCATCAACATCGTCATCATCATCATCAGCATCACCATCACCCGTATCATCACTATCGGCATTGCACACATTATCATTAGTATTGCGACCTTCGTCATCATAATCATCATGTTCATAATGATCATGATCATGATCATCGTCATCCGCATCATCGTCGCCACCACCATCACCAGCAGCACCACCCCAACACCTTCATCAGCAGCACCATAGCCATCATCAGCAGCATCATAATCCCTACCCGTATATGTCTAGCCACTCTCTATCCTCAAACATTGTTATCATAAGCCTCATCATAACAATCGTGCTGCAATGTTCTGGTACTCTTCATCCTGCTCCGCCACCACAGCTTCCAATCGGTGCCTAGTACAACGTCAAACTATATTGACATGGGCCTGCCCGAAGTTGGGAATTGGACTCGCGCCTGCATGGCAGGCTCGCGCGGGCAGCGTGCGCTGCCGAGCTGCACGGCCTCATAAGAAGGGGGACAGGAGCGCAGAATATGATATGGTACCAAGGCGCCTGGTACACCCCCTGAATATATATATATATATATATGTGTGTATACATACATACATACATACATACATACATGCACACATACATACATACATACATACATACATACATACATGCATGCATGCATGCATGCATGCATGCATGCATGCATGCATGCATACATATATATATATACACATGTATAAACATCTATATACATAGAGAGAGAGAGAGAGAAAAATGTATACGTATAAGAACCATCACGCGCGCTTCGCGCACGCTCAAGTTCTAAGTAGGCTCGACAGGCTAATGCATGGAGTCACACTTGTTGAAGTGCCTTGTGAATAGAACGACCTCCTGGGAGTCCCTGCGCAAGCTTCGGAAGCGTATAGAAAAGGGAAATGCGGAAACCACAAATTCACACATTTCCTTTAGGTGTTCGATGATTTGGGGCCCTCGAAGGCTTCCTGGGAATATTTCTTCGGTGGTGACGGGGGCCTTAACTATGGTCTGGCTTGCAAAAATAAAGCAGGGGGTAAGGTTTTTCTGTGTAAAAAAACACAATAGCAAAAACAAAAACAACAACTCTTATGTGTTGCTCCACATTGCCATGCCTGGACCGTGGGTCTGACCCCGAAGTCTTGATGGGGCTCGGGATGAACTTGAACAAAAAGAGAATCACTGGATGCCCTTTAGTTTTTTCAACCAGGACCTCCTAGTATGTAGTGCGCAGGAACTGGGAGGGGCCTAAGAGGCGTGCGGGGAACTTTTGGGAGGCCGTTTGGAGGCCGCTGGGGGGTCGTTTGGGGGCCTTTGGGGGCCACATTTAGGACTCTTCGGGGCTCTTGGGGGCCTCTACAGGCTCTTTGGATGACTCTTGGAGCCTCCTGGGGGCCTCTTGGAACGGAAAGCCGCGATTGTCGATTTGTTTTCCCCCTGTTGGGCGGTTTTCGAACAATTTGGGGGCTTTCTTAGGCTGCCTCGGGGCGTTCTTGGGAATTTGTGGGGCCTTCTTGGCCCGTTTTGGAGTCGTATTGGGGGCTCTTGGGCGCTCTCGGGGCGGTCTTGGGGGCCTTTTTTCGGCCGTCGTAGACCGTTGAAAAATCCAAAACGCGAGAAGGCTAAAGACCGCAACAAAAAAATCAACGATTTGCGAATCTTCTGGCGCTCCCGGGACGCCTTTCGGAGCTCTCTGGGGGCCTCTTGGGGGGAAGTCTGTCTTGGGATGCTTGGGAACGTCTTGGGCCGTCCTTTCGCGTTTTGGGGGGTCCTTGCGGACGTTTTGGGCCGTCCTGGGGTGTTTTGGGGGGCCTCCCTGGGAGGCCCGGGGGCGCGGTACCGGGAGCTCCCAGACGTCACGGAAGTGGGGGGGGCGTTCCAACGGGGGGCGTACTTGTTATATATATATATATATATATATATACACACACACATATATACACATACCTATACGACCACCCTGCGGGTGATTATATATATATATATATGTATGTATGTATGTGTATGTATATACCTACATATAAATAGAAACATGATCATATACATGTCCTCCGAGATGACCAGAGATGATGCGTCTCTGTGTGAGGCGAACGGGGGGCTATGACTTCACGCGAATTCGCCCGCAGTGCACTGACATGCACACCACGCAGAAAAAAAAACAGGCATTGATTTCGAGGCAGCCTGCAAGGCACGGCCAGGCTTCTGACGGCACACGGAGGACGCGCGAGCGGGACAGCGAGACATGCCCGCTGGCTCTGTGGAAGGTCTGGCCCGACAACACCTGCTCGCTGCACGGCTCGGCGACCCACTTGGTCAGCAAGCCGCGCCGCTCCAAGGTCTCCTTTACCTCGGCGAGGTCCCGCGCGCACTGCGCGGCGCCCTTGCCCAGAACGGCGACCCCGTCGACATAAATCGCCGCCGCCGCGGCCCCCTTCAGGCTCGGGGCCGCCCGCTGGTCCTCGATGATCGAAACACGCGAGAAGCCACCACGCACTGGGTCACGATCTCTGGACAAAAATACAGCGACCAGCTCAAGCCCATGAGGTGTCGCCGAGCATTCATCTGGGATCTCTGATTCAGGACGGGCTCGTCGCATGGCAGGAAGATCCACACCAGGAAGGACGAAAAAATCGGACGGGCCGTCGGGGACGGCCATGCGGTAGAACCACGCATCGATGTCCCTCTGGGCAAGGTTCAGCTTCTCGCCCAAGGGGGCCCACACTCCCCGCCAAGCACTGGCGGTGGGGAGCCATGCGTGCCCAGGCTGCTCAAAAAACTGGTTCGCAGGCCGCGCGTCGAGGATCAGCCACAGCGCCTCGACGCCCTTCGGCGCGAAGAATACCCCAGCGTAGCCTCGCTATGCGCTCGAAGGCCACCCACGTATGCGCCGATCAAGTCTCCCACGAACTTTCCGTACGAGGCCTTGCTGCGCATAAGCTTGGGGTCGCAATGTGGCTTTACCGACTCGCCGGCAGGCGCAGGCCGCAACAGCCGCTCACGCCAGCCCTCCCATCGTTCTAGCGCCCCCTCCCCCCTGCAGCAAGCCAGCACCATGGCACTTCGGGCATGCGTCGGCAGCGCAACCTCGTCGCGCTCGAAGGCGGCGGGCCTCTCGGGCTCGGAGAGGTACCCAGAGTCAGATGCGCGCAGCTCTCGAAGGCCGCCGCGCCTGAAATATCCGGATCGCCGACACTTTGGACAACATTTTGCCCACCGCAGAAGCAGCCCCGCGCATCAAAGACTTCGTCCGTCCACGGGTCGACGAACGACCGGCGTCGCGCGCGCGAGCGCACCACCCAGCAAAAAGAGGGAGCCCCCTCGCCGCCCCCACGTGCCGGGATCGATGCAGGAAGCAAATCCTGGGGCAATGCCATCGCACAGTCACTTGCCGCCGCGGCCGCC